TGGTGGATCCGTGCTGTATTAGCTGATAGGGGACCTCTCCATGTATGTCTCCTCGCTCTCTGTTCTCTATCAGTTTCTTATTCCATTTGGTGCTTGGCTGAGTTCTTTATCTCTTCCTTTGATGTTTAGGATTTCAGGATTGCTGTTTTCTCTGTTTGGCTTAGTTTTTCAGATCTTTGCTGTGGAGGGACGGCGTGGTGCTTCTGCCTAGAGCGCCATGTTGCTGGAAGTCCTCTTGCAAGTTTTTAAAACCCCAGATGCTGCTCACCAAAGTAGGATGTAGAACATTTTCTTTATGAACCTTGTTATGCCAGTTGACTTAGATGTCCCCCTGAGGTGTATCTTATGTACAATGACATGCACACATTTTAAGCATAAGTTTGAGTTTTGACAACCGTGTATGCCTTCGTAACCACTATCATGATCAAGATATAGAACATCTGCACCCCCTAGGAAGCCCTCGTGCCCCTTCACCATCTGCCTTGCGTCCCCAACCCCCCATGGCCTTCTGCCCCAGTCTCCGTGGCCTGGGCTCAGTCACTGTGGCTAGTGTGCCAGATGGGTGGTACCCTTTAGTGCCTGGTGCTTTTGCTCTGCATCGTGTTTCTGAGACCCAGCTCTGCTCATTCCTTTGTATCACTGAGTGGTATTCCGCCAGATGGATGTGCCACATGCACCTTGTTCACCAACCCCCTTAAGCAGGCCACGATTTCTAGAACGCAGGAGTCATGATCCCAGGAATATGGAATGTTAGCGACTTTGACTTCCTGTGTCACAGATGGAACTGAGGTCTAGAGAGAGAGACTGGTTTCCCAAGCATATGTGGGCACCAGGCAGCCGGGCTGGCCCCCAGGGCTCCTGACGCCCAGTCTGGTGCTGGGCCACACGCTGGCCCTGGCTGGGGTGACGACCCCTCCTCACATGAGGAGTGTCTGCTGTGTCACTTGTACCTGGAACAACGCTTCAACAGGAAACACCGTTCCATGTTTCTGTAATTTCTCAGACCTTAGTGTCCTTGTGAAAGCGCTATCCTGTCAACCAGGAGAAAAAGTCAGTTGACTTTAAAGCTGTAACTTAAAATCCCACCCAAGTTGAACAAGGTGTGCCAAACTCAGCTTGTTTGAAAAGCAAATAGGCCCTCAGGGTGGGTGGAGAGGGGCCTCCCTTTGAGGAGAGGGCCTCCTGTGGGTAGGGTACAGAGGGCCTGTTTCATCTCTGTGAATGGAGTTAATGGAGCCTCCCACAGGGCTGTTCTGAGGAGTGAGCGCGTGTTAGAGCACCTGGGAACTGCTAAGCCATGGTGGTTGTTATTCTTACTGTCAATGTCTCAGTGTCAGAAGGGTCCCAGGCCCTTGGTAGGCCCCTCGTCCTGCCGTCCTGTCCTGGGGCATGGCCTGAGCACCCCACCCCACTGGAGCCCTGCACATCTGCCTCACAGCTGTGCCCTCTGCTAGGCCCGCAGTCATCTGGGTGTCACCCCATGACTTTCTGCCCTGCGGTCTGGCTGCAGTGGAGGGTAGCATGTCTTCTTGGGACCTCCAGGGGCTCTGGAGCCAGGCGCCCACATCCCTGCAGGCTCAGTGAGACCCTGCTGCTAGCCATGTGCTGCAGACACACACACAAATGCCTAACTCCATGCTCGCCTCCTCAGCTTGCTCCCTGGGGTGGCTGGTGTTCATTGGGTTCTGGAACCTCAGCAGCATGGTGCACAGTGCCGGCTCCTCAGGCTCTGGGAAGGCTGGCTGAGTGGGACAAAGTGGCCCCAAAGAGGTGGTTCTGGGGCATGGCCCTGTGGCACCACTACTGTGTGTCAGGACCCCACCCCCTGAACATTGACCTGCATCCCAGCCCCTGAGATCTCAGTCCCTCCTCTTCCTCAGGGAGGGCCAGCAGAGGCCACCTGCCTGGAGCCAGGCCAGGGGCTTTGTTACCTTCCAAGGGAATCAGACAGCAGTGCCAACCACTGGTAGGGACCGAGGGCATGGCCCCAAGAGCCCCTGCTCACCTCACTTCCCTTAAGCTCAGTCTCCACCCTCCCCCAGCCTACCACCGCCTAGCAGATCTGAGGGTGGCATCATAGCCTTTGGTCACATCACTGGCTGGCTCTGAAGCAGCTAATCACTCTCCTGCTAATTGATTGCTGGGGAAAGGCAGATTTCATTTGGGGAGCTAAGCCCGGCAGCAGGCATGGTTATTACGTCGGCTATAATGGAGACTGATGGCCTATAGGCTGGGACCAAGTCCTCCTGGAATGTCCAGAGCCACATAACGCCAGGGCCTCTGTGCCAGAGCCCGCACACCACACAAATGCAGTTCAGCTCAGCCAGCTGCGGATGGGGCCTGCTGTGTTAGATGCCGTCCAGTTTACGTGTGTATATGCATGGCGCGCACACACACACAGACATACGCAGACATAGACACACAGCCGCACACACAGACACAGACACAAACACAGATACAGATACACAGACATACACGTAGATACACACACAGATACATATGCACAGACATACAGAGATACACAGACATGCATACGCACTCCCCCCCACCACAGACACACATGGGGACACACAGATGCACACACTGAGACACGCAGATAGGAACAGACATACAAACACACAGAGGGTAACATTTTTTTTCACATTGCAGGAGCCCAGGTGGGTGACTTGCCCATATACTTGGAGCCTATCTGCCCTGATTCCCAGCACCTTCTCTCCAGAGCCCAAGGCTGCATCCTCCCCTTCTTCTTCCCCTCCTTTGGTTCCTGCAGCGGGTGCTGCAGTGTAGGCCCAGCGGGGCATGGGAAAGGCTTAGAGTGGTGGGGACCAGCAGCCTACAGGGGGACAGAAGGACATTGGTCAGAGCTCTGTGATCTCCACTGTGAGCTGTGGGATGTAGACATTCTGGAAAAAAAAGTGAAAAGGCTTCTGTGGCTACGAATTCAAAGTGTGAAAGGTCGAGCCTTCAGGAAAGCCCGCAGGACTTTAGTGTCTAGGGGGAGGGGAGGGATTGAGCTCTCAGCACCAAGTCATGGAGCCCCCACCTGCCCCGCCTCATGCCACGGGGCGCGTGAGCAAGGGGGCTGTGGGCCTCTGTCAGTCTTGTTTGTGCTGCCCCTGTGCCAGGGGCCTTCTTGGGCAGCTGAGCTTATTGGAGTCTTAGGGCTTCTATGTTTCCAGCTGTTCCTTCTCCCTGTCTGCTGCGGGCTTCTTGGTACAATAAGGCTCAGGTTCCACGAGGGGCCTGTGGTTGGCAGTCCTGTGCACTCACATGCTAGCCGGGGCGGCTCTCTGCTTCTTGGTTAGAGGGTTTGCTCCTACCGGGATTCATGTCCCACCTCCACTAGCCCCATGTGGGGATGTGTTGGAATGCCCCTGACCGAGCAGTTGCCTCTATGTGGCCCTCCTTCTTCAGAGGTGGGACTGTGGGACCTTGAATCCCAGAGGAGACTTACTCCCCACCCCCATCCCGGGATTCTCCCCAACAACATTTCACGTGTCCTTCTTGTTCTCTCTCTTCACAATGCAGGTTGCGAGATGGGAACAGAAGACCCGCAGGCTGAGCAAGGCCTTTGGGTCACCCTACCTGGCCTGCTATGCACTGGGCGGCGCCATCCTGCTCCTGAACCTCGTCCGCTCACACTGGTAAGCCGCACCCAGGGGCTGCAGGGCTGGGCCTGCCACCAGCTGGTACAGTCAGCTTCCATGGTTTAAGAGTCCATGGCGCCTGAGAGGAGGGGCTGGCAAATGCTGGCAGTACCGGGTTGATCCAGATGGGGGCGCGTTGCATCTGGAGGAGCATAGATTGCTGCCCCTCCTCAGGCAGGGGACACATAACACTAAGTCTCCTCTAAGCCTGGGGCCGGCAAGGAGGAGGGGGACAGAGGGAGCAGCACCAGCATGTAGCCACACTGCTTTAGTTGTTCCCTCCAGGAGGTGTCAGAGCAGGACCGAGGCCCTGGCGGGAACGCGTCTTAGAGGTGGAGCTCCACCCACTGACCACTGGTTTTGGCCAGTTCTTCCCCCTCCTTAGGAAACCCTCATCAGAAATGTGGTTCCAGCTACCATCCAGGTCTGGGAGAGCCCAGTCCACCTGCCTCTGAGCCTCAGTTTCTCATCTGTAGGGAGACAGAGTGAGCACCCACCCATGGGTTTCTGTGAGAAGTGAGTGCTGCTGCACACTGACCAGTTACTTACCCTCGGCCTGTGGTGCGTCAAAAGCTGAGGAGCTGTGCATGAAAACCCATTTCTGGCTCCTCACACGAGGCTGGATGCTCCAGCAGCTTGACTGAGGCATGTCTGATGCTGCTCCTTTATTTATTTTTTTTAATTTATTTTTTTTATTGTACTTTAGATGAAGGTTTGCAGAACAAATAGTTTCTCATCAAACCGTACACGTATTATTTTATGACAGTGTTTAACAACCCCACGACATGTCAGCACTCTCCCTTCTCAAATGTGGGTTCCCTATTACCAGCTTTCCTGTCCCCTCCTGCCTTCTTCTCCTTGTCCCTGGACTGTTGTGCCCCATTAGTCTCATTTTGTTTTATGGGGCTGTCTAATCTTTGGCTGAAGGGTGAACCTTGGGAGTGACTTCATTACTGAGCTAAAAGGGTGTCCGGGGTCCATACTCTCAGGCTTTCTCCAGTCTCTGTCAGGCCAGTAAGTCTGCTCTTTTTTTGTGAGTTAGAATTTTGTTCTACATTTTTCTCCAGCTCTGTCTGGGACCGTCTGTTTTAATCCCAGTCAGAGCAGTCAGTGGTGGTAGCTGGGCACCATCTAGTTATACTGGACTCAGTCTGGTGGAGGCCGCGGTAGTTGTGGTCCATTAGTCCTTTGGACTAGTCTTTCCCTTGTATCTTGTTTTCTTCATTCTCCCTTGCTCCTGAAGGGATGAGACTAGTGGAGTATCTTAGATGGCTGCTCACAGGCTTTTCAGACCCCACCCTCTACTCTCCAAGGTAGAATGTAGAACATTTTCTTTATAAACTGTGTTATGCCAATTGAGCTAGGTGTTCCCTGATACCATGGTCCCCACAGCTGTCTACCCTGATGCTGCTCCTTTAGATGTGGCCTGCATTCCCCACTCCGTGGCCCTGCCTGACCCCTGCCTTCCTACAGGGCCCAGCTGGTGCTGGTGTGACAGCAGAAGTGTCTGCTAGGTGCTGGGCCCTGCATAGGGAGAGCCTCTGTAATGCCACGGGGGCATAGGGGGCAGATGAAGCACTTTCATGTTTCGCTCCTGTTGGAGAGGCATGGGTGGCCCTTCTTCTCATTTCACAGATTAACAAACTGAGACCTGGCTGGGGTCAGAGCTCGAACTTGGACCCAGGCCTTCTCTCTCCTCGTCTGCATCCCCGTGGGTTTGGCCTTCCTGAGAGTAAGGTGAGGGGAGTATGGTCTGGAGGGTCTGCCGAGTGAGGCTCCTGGTCTTTACTTCTTGGCCACTTGGACTGCCTGTTTCTTGTGGCTTCCTTTGCCCAGGCCAGGACAGATATCTCAGGGCCCTGGTCCTGAGAGGAGAGGGAAGGGCTCCTGCTCTGGGTTGAGTGAGGGAGGTCTTTTTCACCACATGACGGGGCTTGCAGCTTGGCCTGCTTAGGGTAGCTTGGGCTTGTGGAGAAGTGGCAGGGAGTCACCCAGCTCAGCTGGCCTGCAGGGCCTGCCCATCAACAGCTGGTGGGCTCCCAGAGCAGGGAAGAGGCCCATTTACAGATGAAGAAGGCAAGGCCTGGCGGGGGCAAAGACAGGCATGTTCAGGCCTGGGAAAGGTGGTGGCAGAAACACCAAGGCTACCTTAGGCTTCGTTCCTGGTTCATAGCAGTGAGAAATCTAGAGCTAGAGGGGAACGGGGTTACCCTGGGGAACCATCGCAGGGTAGGACCTTCAGCAACCCCCATGGCTCTGCTGCCCCCTATGCCTTAGCTCCTCTGCAGCATAAAAGAGATAATATAAGAAGTGCCTAGCACCTGGTGGGTGCTCACTGTCATGGTTACCACCTCCACCCTGGGACTCCTGGAGTGTCCCTGAGCGAGCAGGCCCTAGAGGGGCAGGGACTGGGGCATGCCTGGATCAGTGGGGACTGGGATTAGATGGAAGGGCAGAGGGGGGTGCTCAGTCCCCATGGTGAGGGTGAGCAGCTGCTGAGGCCATAAAAGTGCTGCTGGCCTGGCAGTTCTTCTGCGGAGCCCGCCACCAGCACAGCAGTTAAGGGACCCAGCAGTGCAAGTGGTACAGGGCCAGTGCTGCATCTACCTCCCTCTGCCCCCTTTCCCTCTGGGGCCTCTGTTCTGGGTCTGGGTGCCCCGGGAGGCCCTGCATGTACGTGGGCCGTGCTGCATCCTCCCCAAGCAGTGCTGTGCGAGGTGTCCTCTATCCCCACCTCCCAGAACCCCCGGTACGGGTCACCATGATGACTCTGACCACCTGCACTGGCTGTTTTGGTTGCCTCCAGCCCTTGCCACAGTCAGTCCTGCAGCAGGGCAGACCCTTGCCCACAGATGACCTGGGCCAAAGGAACTCCTATAAGGGTGGGGGGCACCTCCTGTACTTGCACATGTGCCCCAGGAAACCTTTGATGACCTCAAGTAATGCAGTTTCCAGGGGACACATAGCCTGGGCTGGGCATTGGTGGCTAGGGGGTGCTCAGAGAGGCTACAGGGTGTGGGAGTGGGAGGGGGAGTGGGTGTGTGGAGAGGGGGCCAGCTCTTCCTTCCCCCAGTCCACTTCACCTGGACAGGAGAAAATGTACCAGGGGCATCATCTGGTCAAGCCCTAAACCTCAGAGCCTCTACGCCAGCACACGTCAGAATAACTTGAGTCTTGTCAAGAATGTGGCCACCAGGGCTCCTGGGCCTTCAGAATCAGCTGCCTCGGCACCTGTGTCTCCAGAGGCTCCTGGTGCACCAGGTACAGCCAGGCTGGGAAAGACCTTCGTAGTCAGTGCTAGGGTGGGGAGTAAATCCACTTGTCCTTATCCCGGAGGGGCTCTCAGATGGCAGAGGACTCAGACTGGCCACCAGCTGCAACCAGGCATGGGCTGGGGTAGGAGGCGTCTGGAGGAGGGCAAGCCCAGGGTACCAGGGGAGGCAGACTGAGGGGAGGTGGGGAGTAAGTCCAGCCGACCTTCTTTACCGCCCCTGGTCCTGATCCCTGGGGGGCAGGCAGCAGACCTGCTGAGTCTGATGGCTGGGCTCCCTAACAGTCCCAACGTGGCCAGCCAGGCTTGTGGGCTCTGCTGCAGGGGAGACTATTGGCACACTCATGGCTCTGTCCCTGCAGGGCCGTCTGTGTCTGTCACTGCGTCCCCAGTGCCAGTGGGGACTGCTGCCCACATAGGTCAGGATGGAATGACAGACAAGTGAGCAGCCACACCAATGAGGCAGCCACAAGGACAGTAATTCAGGTGGCAGTGGGACAGGTCAGGTGGCAGCTTGGCCATGGGTGGGCACATGTGGCTAGAGAAGAGGCATTCCTTCGGTCTTGGGGTCAGGCTGGTGTGGGAGTTGGATCTGTAATGGGCAAATGAGATTCCTGTGGGCTGGGAGGCAACATGTATTAGTTGTCTGTGAATGCATGACAAAGTGCTACAAACTTGCTGCTTCACACCGCACATACTTCTGGTCTCGGCTCCCATAGTCCTGGGCTTTGGGCTCCACCAGGCTGCAGTCACGGTGTTGGCCAGGGCCACGTCTCTACTGAGGCCCTGGTTCCTCACTCACTGCAGTTGGCAGGACTCAGTTCCTTGGGGTTGTAGGACTGAGCCCTCGGCTCCTGGGGACTACCCACCACTCCCTGCAGCATGGCCCTCTCTGTAGCCTGGCAGTTTGCTTCTTCAAGGCCAGCAGGAGAGCGTTTCTCTTGCTTCGTACCATCTCTGACTTCTTCCATCTCTGACCTCAAGATAATCACCCAAGATAATCAGCAAGTCAGCTGATTAGGACCTTAATTACTCAGCAAAATCCCTTTACCTTCACCCTATCATAGGAATGGCTAAACTCAAGGGGAGGGGATTGTACAGGACGTGGACCCTTGGGGGCCGCCTTAGAATTCTGCCTACCACATGGTGGAAGGGAAATCGAGTCAAGGAAACAACACCAGCAAAGGGCTCACGCAAGGGCAAGGGCCCAGCATGGCTAGAGCTTAGAAAGTGGGGGCATGGCATACAGGGAGGAGGCTGGAGAGGGGCAGGCTGTAGGGTGCTGTGCCCACCCAGGGGAAGGGCCTTGGCTGGAGTTGGGTTTTAGCAGGGTGCGCCTGATGGCAGAAGTGGAGGGTGCTTTGGGAGGAGACTGGGGCAGGAGCCTAGGTGGAGGCCTGAGGCCTGAGCTGGGGGCAGATTCAAAGGCCTGTGCAGATGAGAACCCCCAAGATTTGGCAACTGGTTGGATGTGTAGACAAGAGGGAGGGGTGGTGGTGGCTGGAGGTACTGGAGGAAGGCCCTCCCCAGACACTGTTCATCCCTACATGCCTGGGATGCCACCCTCACCTGCCTTCCGATAGGTGCAAGGTGCGGTCAGGGAGCTGTGGGCAGGGAGGTGGTGGGGATCTGTGTGGCAGCTGGAGAAAAGAGGCCTGAAGAAAGGGGGACCGGAGAAGGGACAGGAGGTGGGAGAGAGGCTGCATCTCAACAAGGTGAGCCCAGG